GTAGGGCTCCGCGAACGAAGAGAATGCCCACCCTCTTTTCTGAGTCTGTTGAAGGAGATACGTGAGGCTGAGGAAAATGAAGCAGCCCGACATAGGATGACTGCAAAAGCCAAATCGATACAATCTCATGAGGATGAAAGAGTTAGCCGCTCCGTCCTTCAAGAACTTAAGTCGGAGATTCAGGAGTTGAGGGCACACATATGTGGAGGTGAATTCCAAGTTGTGGCCACGTCATCCATGGTGCTTAAAGCTAAAGAAAAGCCATTCAAGAGGACTGAGAAAGCTGATGATTCTGAAGTTTGGGAGCTGAGAAGACAAGTTCAACAGCTGCAGCAACAGTTGGCAGTTATGAGTGTCAGTCATACTCAGCAGTCACCCCCGATTCTTGAACAGTAACCTAAATCTCTTCAGTCCCAGACAGTTTCTGTATCATCTAGATCCAAGCCGACAAGAAACAAAGATTACTTCTGCTACAGCTGTGGCGAACACGGCCATATAGCCACCAAGTGTCAAGATCCTCCAAACACTGATCAGGTGATTCAGAAGCTGGTTCACTCTCTACGAAGGGCCAAGAGTGGAAAGCCTGATGAAACGGGTGACCGTGAAAAGAATTCAGACCAAGTATGTTTCTCTAAAAGGAGCCAAAAAGAGGTCTACGAGTCAGGTAGTCTGCCCAAAGGACTGGTGGGTCCAGCATCGACAGTGGAAGTGATGCTCAATGGCTGTTTATGTCAAGCTCTCTTAGACAGTGGCTCACAAGTGACCATAGTGTTTGAAAGCTGGTATTCCAAAAACCTGAGTGATGTGCCCATTCACTCTTTAACTGGCCTATCCATATGGGGCCTCAGTTCCTCCAGCTATCCTTACAAGGGTTACACTGTAGTGGATGTCACGTTCCCTGCCTCCGTCACTGGTGTGGAAGAGTCACTGTCCATCTTGGCGCTGGAATACCCAGAACCCAAAGGTCCCTCACAGCTGCCTGTCATAATTGGTACAAATGCACGTTTCTTTAAACGTCTTGCTGCCCTGAGCCGAGAGCTTGAAGGATCCACTGTTGCACATTTCCTGAGAATCCAGACTCATCACTCAGAGAGCCACATTCCTCAAGTATCCGAGACTGAGCACCTCTCTGACAAACCTGGATGGGGCCTGGACACTGCATTGTTCCATCAAGAGGAGAGGACTGGTTCTCCAGCAAAACTCCACCATCAAACATCCGAAAAAGAGCATTAGAGCAGCAGTCTAGTCCTCGCATTGTCGCAAAGCAATGACAAACAACAATGAGACACTACAATGAGGAGGAGGAGGAGGAGGCAGAAGAGAAGAGGACTGGTTCTCCAGCAAAAACTCCACCATCAAACATCAGAAAAAGAGCATTAGAGCAGCAGTCCAGTCCTCGCATTGTCGCAAAGCAACGACAAACAAAAAAGGAAGACACCCCTATCCAAGGAGAAGACAAAGATGGCCCTTCCCAACCACCAGCTAGAGCAAAGAAGAAATATGCTGAAAGATGGTGCTGAAAGCTCGACTTAATTTAAGAAAAAGAAAACCACCTAAGGATTTCAAAGATTATGTAGTATAATGTAAAGTGTAGTAATAAATATTTGTTGGGATGGTATGATGGACACCATTTACTTTTAGACAATAAGTCACTTCATTTGAGCTATTGCACCTTAAACTTTTTTGTTTGCTTTTTGAAAGGTGTGGGTTAAAGTTAGGGTAAGTGATTTCTGGTAGCCAATGTTGATATTTCAAATCATCAAAATAAACACGCCCCTATCCTAAAAGGGTCTCGCCCCTATTTTGATAGCTCTGCCCCACACATACGTACCTCGGTCCCGAATCAGTTTTCTAAAGTGTTTTTGAAAAATCACTTACCCCACCTTTAAACCCTTAGTTTCCACTGTTACTTGTTCGGTATTTTTTGTGCGAACATGCCATTGCATGGTTTACACATTACAATAGCTCGCTGTATTTGACAAATCAAAGTAAAGAACAAATGCCATTTGGAATCATTACACTGGGATCCAAATGAGAAATATGTCCATATATTTATTTGTGTGTGTGTATGCATTATTCTTGCAAAAAATATATGGACTAAACAATCTCTTGTAGTAATTGTTTCTTTTATTTACAGTTCAATCAAATCACAAATTACATTAAACTCTATGCATATTTTTCTAGTACAATTTTTGATTATTATAAGAAAACTAAATAGTATTTTAAAGTGGTTATATCCTTAAAAGAACAAGCGTTGTTTTTACACAAGCAAACAAAATGTAAATACCACTTTTTCTAAACACACACACACAAAAAAAGCAATATTCTTAAATGCACGTCATGTTCTCAGTTTAAAATCATATTATTGTCTGCGGGATTATGAACACACCACAGCAAGTGCAGTTTTTTTTTTTGCTCACACAGCAGACATCACTTCACTATATAAGAGAAAACACCAAACAAACATGAAGAAGACTAATGAATCACAGTCACTACAAACACAGGACAGTTCTTCATTACCCTCCATGTGTTATCTATGACATTTCTTTATTTTTTTTTAGGCAGAATCTTTCCATAATACGTTTATCTGATGACATAATCTACCAATCAATCCTTTATTTTCCTCCTGTGCTCTTCTCTTAAGCTCCTCAAGTTTCAGAACTCTTTCCTGTTTCCCAGTTTCTTTCATTTTCTCAATCATGAAGTCCAGATGTTGGATAGAGGACATGGATGTAGATTTTAATGCTGTCTCCATTAATTTTTCAAAACACTGATAACACTCTTCCACAAGTCTGATCTTCTCTGCCTCTTCCCATTTTATCTCATTTTCTAATTTGGTTTCTAATTTCTTTTTATCTCTGAATTCCTTCTCATATTTCTTTTTCAGATCCTCTTTTGTTCTTTTGACCCTTTTGGTTTTAATCTCATATATATAATCATCTTTCTCATGTTTAGTGGGGAGACATTTCTTAGTACAGACTGTACACTTTCCCTGCTCTGACATCACACTGCATTTCGAAAGATTACTGACCCACCAGCATCCTGGATAATGGCAGTTCTCCTCACAGACAGTGCAACGGGTTGCCTGAGTGGTTAAGTACCACCATGGTAACTTTATTTTGACCAGTTCCTTGTAGGGTTCATCAACTTCATGTTCAAAGTTCTTGTTTTCTTCTCTGTAATTTTCCCATTTCTTTAAAGCTTCTTTTGTTTGCTTCAGCTCTTGTTTTTTGAGTTCTGTCAGTTTGATTCTGTACATGAAATTGTTGACATTGGCATCCAGCTGTTTTCGGGCTCTAAGCACACCTTCAGTCATGTTTAGGCTTTTGGGGTGTATCCCATTCAGATAAGCAAGAACCCCTGGAAGTTTTCAATTCCGCTATCCCATGATTCTTTGTAAATGTTTCTGTCTTCCTCATCATAGGATTCACTCTGACAGTTGTCAAATTTGAAATAAACAGATGATGATTATTCGTTGTTTTTGCACATGGAATTTTGATTGGCTTTTTTGATGCATTCAAGGGGTTTTTTTGGAACAGTTTTATTAGCATTTGTGATGAGTATAGTGATGTGTTTTTCTATATCCTTTCCAAATAATGACAGAACTTCATCCAAAATATACAGCTGTCTTTCATGGAGGCGAGCATCTGTTGCCTTTAGCACGAGACACACTACATCAATTTCATGAAGGCCGTCCTCAGACCTGAACAACAGCTGCAAAGTTTCAGGAATGAGTTTGTCTTTGTCAAGGCCACGTGTGTCACCCTGCCCAGGTGTGTCGATAACAGTGAGAGAGAATGGACTGCCCTTTGCATAAACCTCATAAACAGTAACTGCTGTTGTCTGAGACTCAGTTTGGTTTTCATATGCCTCAGCTGCCTCCAGCCAAATCTTGTGTTCCCATCTGATACCCAGGATGTAATTGATCATTGCATTGATTAGACTGGTCTTCCCTGATCCTGTTTCTCCAACCATCAGTACGACCTTACTATGTTTGTCATTTTTTTCTCCAATTATCTCTTTCCTTATTAACTCTGTGTCAGCTACGACCATTGTGTTGAGTATAAATCTTGTAGTGGGTCCTACAATTGATTTACTCTTTCTAAGAATTTCACTGAGATCATTTTTCAGGGAGGTATCCAACTCATCATACCTGCATAAAAACATATACAAAACATATATGCATATTATTAGTTGTTTATATATATATATATATATATATATATATGTATGTTTACACACAGTGCATCCGTATTCACAGCGCTTAACTTTTTCCAAATTTTGTTATGTTACAGCCTTATATTCCAAAATGGAATGGAAAGTTTGTTTGAAATCTTTGCAAAAAAAAAAAGAAAAAAAAAAAAAGAGAAATAAGACCATGAGAAATAAAATTCTCTGGTCTGATGAAACAAAGATTAAACTCTTTGGCCTGAATGGCAAGCGTCATGTCTGGAGGACACCAGGCAGCGCTCATCACCTGGCCAATACCATCCCTACAGTGAAGCATGGTGGTGGCAGCATCATGCTGTGGGGATGTATTTCAACGGCAGGAACTGGGAGACTAGTCAGGATCGAGGGAAAGATGAATGCAGCAATGTACAGAGACATCCTTGATGAAAACCTGGACCTCAGACTGGGGTGAAGGTTCATCTTCCAACAGGACAACGACCCTAAGCACACAGCCAAGATAACAAACTGGAGGAAACCAGGCACCGCTCATCACCTGGCCAATACCATCCCTACAGTGAAGCATGGTGGTGGCAGCATCATGCTGTGGGGATGTATTTCAACGGCAGGAACTGGGAGACTAGTCAGGATCGAGGGAAAGATGAATG